CGATCCATGCACACAGAAAGCAAGTGCATGTTTATTATTCTTCTCCACAATAACGTTTTTTTACACCCGAACCCCATGTCATCTGCAACCCTTCAAATACCACCCATAGTTCTGCATCAAAAATCGAGTAACATCCAATTGATTTAGAGAACTCCGATACTAGCTGCCGGTTGCATCTTTCAATACTCCACCACACAAACCGCCAGCCCAATCGAGTTCATTCGCGCTTCATCGGTGTTTAATTTATACCAACCACAAGGTGGTACCTTCCAAACTATCTCCCGCTGCCGTGACCTTTTCGTCGCCATTCATTTTCTGATTCAGGTGCATGAAATGCCTCCATTTGTAATTGGCTTCCACTTTGCATCACACTTTCAGTCAGATCGAAAATCAACTGGTTGAAAATAATTTTTAAAAATTATTTTATGATGTTTGAATGATATTGTGTAAATAATTTTATATTGTTTAATAGTTTTTTAAAAATAATTTATTATAAATATTTAATACGATAAATAATATTATTTAGAGTAAACTAACTTAATATTATCATTTTTAAAGTATTACAGTAATTTGATTGATATTATTTATAATAAAAATATTATTAATATATTTACATTAATATAAGTTAATTATTTTTCCCTTTCATGTTTGATGAGTAAGTAACTAAAAAGAAAGTATTATTAACTTATTTACATTTAGGGATGATAATTTAATTTAAAATTAATGGATTTCGATCTGACTCGACTTGATATGATTAGTTTTTAAGACGGGAAAAGAAAATGATTAAACTATAAAAAATCTAAATAAAAAAAGAGAAGCAAAATTTAATCGATAGAATATATAAAATTTAAATCTAAAATAATACACATGGAGGGTTCGATTCTGGAAAAGTTGAGGGAGATGGACATTTGTAAGTCTAGCTTTCTTGGACAACTCCCTGTCCTTCTGCTTGAGTTTGCGCTTGCATGAAATGGCCTGCACTTGGACGGCCGATCTTCTATTTGCTGTGTTTGTACCAGGTTTCATTCCATTCTTCTGGAGATCCTTCTCGACGTCCAGCATGTCTCGTGGCAATTCGATCGATCTGAATAATTCTTGAATGTCATCGTCCACCTTAATCAGTACCCTCGGATCATTTGGGAAGAAAATATCTGATAACATCCAAATTTTACCCGCAGATTTCAGAGCCTACAAGTCTTCCATCACATTTAGGTATGAATCCTTGAGATCGACAACAGAAATTCCTTCTATATATTTTCGAATCAACACAAGAAGTTCGTTCTTGTTCTTCACATTGTGCTTAGCCTTGTAAGTGAAGCGATTTCCATCGAAATTTACTTTAGGGTTTTTCCTCAAGTACTCAAACACATCTCTGTTGCGGTTGACGTCGACGTAACATGCTTCGTTAATATGTTCCGTCGTGAACGCTTGCTTTGTCTGGAAAAGAACGTCGATAACACGCTTCATCTGAGCTCCAACGGGAGCTTTCCTGATGCTGTTAAAAGGCCGGAGCCTCTCGATATCATCGGAGAATTTGGTAGGCGCAGAAGCAGCATCGGGTGCCATCACTCACGACCTTCTCAACCGTCAGAATTCCCAAATCCTTTACAAGAGATAACTTGCAACAAGATTTTATATAAACTTTTAATTTTGAAGTTGAGAAGAACATCGACTTTTTGAATGAGTTAGGGTTGAAGTCGAGCTCGCTCAATTAATTTTTAGTTTTAAATATGAGAAAAACACCGAATTACAAGTTTTCTTGTAAGCCAAGTTTAGCCCATAAGTTTATAGGGAAAATTACATAAATCATCACTATACTTTATTTTCTCTTATTTTACTCATTGAACTTTAAATACTTCCAATATACTCACTAAATTTTCAAATTATTCCTAGTTGGGTTACTCTGCCATTAATTATATTAACGAGGTTATGACATGGTAAAAGTATCAAAATAACGTCGTTTTGGAAAAGTCAAATATATACCAAAACGATATCGTTTGAATCTCTATAAAATTCATTTTCACATCCATTTCTTCATTTTTTTTTCTTTTTTCCCCTTTCGTTCTCTCTATTTACTCATAATATGATCAATTTTTATTGTTCGCCACCACATCATTTTTCATGTGGCCATTGTTAAAATTCAAAATTTTATTATAGACATTTTTCATATCCCAAGCACGAATCTGACCTCTTTTTCACAAAAAACCACTAAAGTAGACGAATCTAAACTAAAACTCTTCGACTTTCTTTGTTTCTTTTCGTCTTCCTCCACCGTTGAACCAATATCAAATCGGGATATGGTGGTTTTCACCGCTTGAATTTTTAAGCAACTTGTCAAAGCTCTAAAAACCCAAAATATGACGGTGGTGCTTTTTTTTTTTTTACTTTTCCTATTTTCCTTGCTTTGATTATGGGATTCCCCCTTTTTTGCAAGTCATTCTTTGGTTAGACATGTGAACAAAAAAAGTATCTTTTATTTTTTTTCTTTTTACTCTATTTTTTTAATGTCATTGATGGTTACAATATCGTGTTTGGTTCATGTTAAATATTGCATGTTGTGAGTACTATAAAATTATACGCAAATGATGTACAAGTATACACAATCGAATAAGTAATATAATAATGAATGAGTATCGCCTTCACATGGATTGGTGGAAATTATGAATTTAACAAAAGCAAAGAACTACTTTATCTAAGTATAGTTAGTGTGATGGTATGTACCAATGAGAATGTCAAGGCAATATGTGTTGGCGGAGATGGAATGATGGTGTGATGTGATAACAAATGGAGATGTCTTAGTGAAAATGATATAATTGTTGTGATAAAATAATCTGTGTGCAGTGCAATCAAATGAAAATGCGAAAGCAAAACAAAATGTAACTATTGGAATTAAATAAAATGACTTGATAATCCTCACACAACAAGCTACTATGGGAATGAATGATAGGAGTTACTAGGAAACTTAAGTCTAACTTCTCGGGATGGTCTAACTTCTATGTTTTACTTGCCCAACAGAGTTTACGAAAATGCCCTATGCTATCTCTAGTCAAGGGACTCAACAGGTTGAAGATGTCATGGCAATACCTCTTGGCGTTAGCAGGTGCAAGGATCTCATCAGTTCAATAGAATATGTCACGACAATACCACTCAGTATTAGCACTAGAATATAACCTCTCGACCGAGCACTACTCCTTTTAGTTGATTGAAATCGTAGCCCTATGTTTTAAGGGTGGATTAGGTTTATTTACTATCTAAAACCCATTGCATATGTTGATCCTCCTTAGTTTCTCTCGAACACTAAAGATGAACTACTTAGTTTTTCTCGAACACTAATATTTTCCTAAGGAATGGCTACTCTTATAGCTCCTATAACCTTAAGTCATTAAGCACCATAAACAAAATAAATAAAAACATATAAAAGAGCAACCATCCATTAAAATAACAACTTAAACATCCATAGTGAACTCCCACCAATAACGCTAGTACATGGCGGGGTTCGAATAATCCATGAAATAAATCATAAAATCCATTCGTTCCTTGCAACCCGAATATGAAAAATGAGAAAGATCAACAAAAAGAATGAGGAAAAGCCTTCGACGCGCGTTGTCGGAGCTCTCCTCAGTCACCACTAACCGCATTAGCTTGCTAGCTCTTCTCGGATGCTTAGCTCGCCACTCCTTTGAGCTTGCTAATGGAGGAACAACACGAAAAAAATGGAGGAAAAAGAACGGTGGAGATGATGAAGAAGATGATGGCTTATAAGTTTGTGTAACCGTCCCACTCTCTCTTGTGAGGTGTCATTTTATAATAAAAATATCTAAGGGTATTCTTGGGATTTTACACTTAAAATACCCATCATACCCCTATAGTCATTTTTTGTGCGTGAGATCTATCTCCATAGGTGGCAGTGGTCCCCAACAGGCGGTTACAAGCAATAGACACGTGCCTCGCTAGTTGTCTTTTTGTAGCAATATATTTTTGTCCTTTTCTGTGCCAGAAATGCCAAAGCATTACAGTCTGCTTTAGCAATGTATGATGCCACGACATTCTTTCCCAGCTCGCCCTTTTACTCGTTATTTCCTGCATGTCACTAACAGCTACACCTTCCCTTCATACAACACCTTAATGAAATAAAATAACACAACCACCACAAATGCAATTATATGCATCTAAAATGACCTAAATGACCCTTTAGATAAACAATAACTTAAGTGAACAAGATCTTAAAAGTAGCATTTTTGCGGAGTTATCATTAAACTCTATGGATCAACCGAAAACTTTCAAGAGGAAATTTTACCTTAATTTATTATATCAAAATATTAGAAAACAAGGTTTAACATTTCAAGATTTGTGTTGAGTTTCAGTTTAGGTACTAGGTATTAGTTCATTGGGTATTGGATTTTAAGACAGTTAATGGTGATAGAATAATTTTGGGAGTTGTGTTTTGTTTAACAGTGAGAGATTGTTGATGGACTATAATGATTATTGGATGAGTAAAGGATTCAATGACGGTGAATTGGAGGTGACCAAGAGAATAAGAAGAGTGCAATGATAGGTGGTGGTGATGATGTAGTTGAATTGTTCTTGATTTAGGGTTTTGGTTGTTGGTTGAAAGATTTGCTTGACATTGATTTGAATTCAAACAAAAATGGTTGTTCGATAGGCGATGTAACATAGATGGAAATGACAGACGATGGTGTCGATAAAATGTTTAATTCAATGAAAAATATAAAAAATATATATTAATAAAATATTAATAAGTGTTTTTGTGACAAATCATAAAGTAACAAAAGATAACACATCACCACAATTTTAGAGAGATAAAAGGAGGGTGAAAAAAATCAATATTTAAAGTTCAGTTAGTAAATTGAATTTTTTTAAAGTTAAGTGAGTAAAATAGGAGAGAGAAAATGTTTAGTGACGATTTATGTAATTTATCCAAGTTTATATGGGATTTGGCCAGAGTAGGGTTTTAACTTTTAGGTTGTTGATAGCCGTTTTCTTCACTTCCTCTCTGTTTCTTCGCTAAACCTTTCATGGCTCGGGAAAACAAGCTTTTCATAAGCTCCAAAGCGGAGCTTAAACGAAAACAGAAGGAAAAAAAGAAGGCAAAATCTGGCGGTTTCGAGTCCTTAAACCTCAGCCCTAATGTCTACAGAGGAATCAAGCGGAAGGGATACAGAGTCCCAACGCCAATTCAGCGCAAGACTATGCCTCTTATTCTTGCTGGAAGCGACGTCGTTGCCATGGCCCGGACAGGTTCGGGAAAAACGGCGGCTTTTTTGGTCCCCATGCTGGAGAAGCTGAAGCAGCATGTGCCTCAGGGCGGTGTCCGGGCTCTCATTTTGTCTCCGACAAGGGATTTGGCCTTACAGACATTGAAGTTTACCAAGGAATTGGGAAAATTTACAGGTTACTTCTTTGTTACGATCTAGAAATTTAACGTTAATGTTTGGTTTTTATATTTTTGACTAACTAAAAAGTTTAGAATTTTTATTTTTTAATAACAAAATGCATGTTTTTAGTTTGCTTTTAATCAAATATGATTACTAACCAATGAGTTTTAGAGACCACTGAGGATTGAAAAAATGTTGGGAAACAAAGCCCTTTGCATTGTTCTTTAATTATTGTTATATCGTGTAATTTATTTTACTTGCACTCAAACCAGAATTTTGTTTTCTGATTGGCATGCCTCCATTGATGGCAACTTATAAAGAATTTGTTGCGTTTATTCTAGATCTTCGAATTAGTTTACTCGTTGGTGGTGATAGCATGGAAAGCCAGTTTGAGGAGTTAGCACAGAACCCCGATATTTTAATTGCTACTCCTGGTAGACTGATGCACCACCTGGCTGAAGTTGATGATATGTCACTCCGAACTGTGGAATATGTGGTATTTGATGAAGCGGATTCCCTCTTTGGCATGGGTTTTGCTGAACAATTGCATAAAATTCTTACCCAGCTTAGTGAAAACCGTCAGACCTTGCTCTTTAGTGCAACTTTACCAAGTGCCCTTGCAGAGTTTGCTAATGCCGGTCTACAAGACCCTCAGCTTGTGCGGCTTGATTTAGAAACCAAGATTAGTCCCGACTTAAAGCTTGTTTTCTTCACCTTACGCCAGGAAGAAAAACATGCCGCACTGTTGTATTTGGCAAGGGACCACATTAGCTCTGATGAGCAAACTTTGATATTTGTTTCCACGAAACATCATGTAGAGTTCCTTAATAGTTTATTTCGAGAGGAGGGTATCGAACCTTCCGTGTGTTATGGTGATATGGATCAAGATGCTCGGAAAATTAATATTTCAAAATTCAGATCAAGGAGAACTATGCTACTTATTGTGACAGATGTTGCTGCTAGGGGTATTGACATACCTTTACTAGATAATGTTATCAACTGGGACTTCCCTCCAAAGCCCAAAATTTTTGTTCATCGTGTTGGACGAGCAGCAAGGGCAGGTAGGACTGGTACTGCTTTTTCCTTTTTGACATCTGAGGATATGCCGTACCTTCTAGATCTTCATCTATTTCTGTCAAGACCAATCAGGGCTGCACCTACTGAAGAGGAGGTTTTGCAAGACATGGATGGGGTGATGAATAAAATTGATCAAGCAATTGCAAATGGAGAATCTGTTTATGGTCGTTTCCCCCAAAACATTATTGATCTTATTTCGGATAGGGTCAGGGACATGATTGATTCATCTGAAGAACTAAATAATTTGCAAAGGACATGTACAAATGCTTTTCGCTTGTATTCCAAGACTAAACCTTTGCCTGCAAGGGAGTCTATTAAAAGGGCAAAGGATTTGCCCCGTGAAGGGTTGCATCCTATCTTCAAAAATGTGCTGGAAGGTGGTGAATTGGCAGCGCTTGCATTTTCTGAACGTTTGAAAGCTTTCAGGTAATTTCTAAATCATTTAATCTGCAAATTAGTGTGCTTCTTGGTTAAGTGCTTCTGTCTTTTTGTCTTCCATGTTAAGCAGTCACATTTTAACATATTTAATGATTTACACTAGACCCAAGCAAACCATTCTGGAAGCTGAAGGTGAAGCCGCTAAATCAAAGCATTTGCAGGTAACTCTGCAATATTTATATTATGGCATTTTCTTTCCATTATTGTTGATGATTTTTCCTTAAATTGCTATTTTTTTTGCTTTCAGCCCTTTTTAAAATGGTTTCTTTTCAATATCTTGCTTTCTTGCACTTTACAAGCGGGTTTGAGAATTATGATGCATTCCTTTGGTCATACAGTGGGTCGATGTGATGAAAAAGAAGAGAGATATACATGAGAAGATCATTAATTTGGTTCATAAGCAGCGCTCTAGCAAACATGTGGAAAAGGTAACTTTACTATTTGGAAATGATTTACATGACAATAAACCCATCAAGTATTCACCCCCTCCCACCATGCATCAGCACACACTATCTGAACTTCTGAAATTGGTATGCGTTCTTATTAGTTTCCACACATTTTAGTCATTTTTGGAACTAGTTAAGTAGTGTGAATTTTATCTTTTGGTCGATTTTCAAATTTTGTGGTTGTTTTGAGAGTTTTCAAAAACTATGGTTTTGATAGAAGAAGATGATTTAGACCTATTCCATTCACAAATATGATTTACTAGGAACACTTACACTTCGTTTTGAAGTTTTTGGTCATTAATTTTATTATATGGTCACATTTCATCACTCCCGTCTATTTAAGATCATTTTTTATGCATGCAGGAAATTCAATCTGACGATGATTCTCCAAAGATAAATGAGATAAAAGGTTTTTTCCTTACCACTTTTTAATTTCTTCTAATTGGAGGTGTCACTTCCTGACTGAAGACCTTAACGTTGAAGGTGCTTTTTATCTATTTATTTATTAATTTTTTATTGGGAGTCGAAAAGTGAAGAGGGTAACAGTAGCTATATTTTTGGTTTGAATTGTCGTGGTTATCAAGGCTCACAGGAAATATTCTAGGTCTTTTCTGCCACATTTGTTTATCACAGGCGAGTTGCCTTCAAGTGGGAGAAAACCAACGAGTAAAAGCCAGTAAAACTTGCTAAATAAAATACATGTATATACATGTATTTGTCCAAAAATTTATTTATATATTCATTGATAAATGATGGATCTTCTTGGAGCATTAGTTAGTTTTGGTTTTTTCAATAATTATATATTTTTTCCCTTTTCTATATTATAAGCACGCGGTTCTAAAAGAAAGGCAAGAAATTTCAAGGACGAGGAGTATTACATAAGTTCTGTACCAACAAATCACGTATGTTCACATCTTCCAACAAACATTCTTTTCAATTTTGGTCTCAATGTGTCTATAATATTTAATATTTATTTGATTGTATTGTCTAATTTGTATCTTACAATTTGTGAAGCTTGCTAATGCCTAACAAGTTTGTGTGCATATTGCTATCATTTTCAGCATACAGAGGCTGGTCTCTCAGTAAGAAGTAATGAAGGGTTTGGATCAAATAGGTAAATTTCAGATCCTGATGATACATTTTTAGCTCATTTTGCAGTTTTGTTCTTTCCCCTACCTAGTGAGGAGTTGGTGATGTAGACATTTAAATTTCTGCAATAGTTACGTAACTTGCCCTTTTTATGCCAGAGAATGCTTCATGATAAGTCATTTATTTATTACGCTATCTAAAATCCTTGTTTATGTGGCCCCTTTCTGTCTCTGGCTTGTGTTATATCTCGGCATAGCAGCTTAATTTGCAGTCATTGCTGTGAAACAAGATTCTGCTTTAGTTAAGATGTGCATCTATGCTATCTTAGTTCTTACTGTGGGAAACGAGATTAGAAGATGATTTTTATTTTTGCAATATATACATTTAATTTGGGATTTATTCCCCTTTCTCAGAGTGGTTGGTCGCACTCAAGCTGTTAATTTTTGTATTTTCAGGTTGGAATCTGCTGTACTGGATCTTGTTGCTGACGATAGTGGAGGCATGCACAAACAAAAATCAAGATATCATTGGGATAAGGTGCATAGAACTATTTGAATACTGATCTTTTATTGTTATCCTAAATAAATTAACGTTGTTTTTTTAAGTCAACTCATCTGAACCTTTTATATGCAGAGGGGTAAAAAGTATGTTAAATTGAATAACGGTGAACGTGTTACAGCTAGCGGAAAGGTACTTTTTGCTGCTAATCTTTCTGGATATTCACTTCCCTCTAGTTTCATTTTTCAAGCTTATTGGTTTAACTTAAATTGGATGCTATCACTGTATCTCAACCATAGCCAGTGAGCTGTTCTGGTGCTGATGGTCATGCTCATTCTTTCATTCATATATGTCCCTGGTGTTCTGTACATAACTTTAGTACTTTTCTTTTCTGTTGTTTCCAGGTTAAGACAGAGAGTGGTGCCAGAGTAAAAGCTGAGAAAACAGGAATCTACAAGAAGTGGAAAGAACGATCTCACAGAAAAGTTAATCTCAAAGGAACTATTAATGGAGAGAATGCTGAGGCTAGAGCAAGTTCATCAGGTTGGATTATGAACTCCCCCCACCCCCCACCCCCCACCCCCAAAAAAAAAAAAAACTGATTTGTACTGCTATTAGTATTCTCATGATACAAAGAATACATTAGTTATTCCGGAAAAAATATTTCATGCAGGAGATTACCGGTCGCGTGGTTATGGTAGAAAGTTCGGAGGAAATAAGAAACCGCAGCACTCTGTGCCTAATGCTCATGTGCGTTCAGAGATCAAAGATTTGGAACAAGTGCGAAAGGAAAGGCAGGAAAAGGCAAATAAATTGTCATATATGAAGAGCAAAGCCAACAAGAAAAAGGGTAAAAATTTCGGTCGAGGTGGAGGTGGTAAAAGAGGAAAGTCCAAGTAGTCTGATTCGACTGTTGCAGAGTCTTCTCGATAGCAACTACATATAGGTCTGTGCATGCTAAACAGAAAGGGGTTCCAAAAGTTTGACCTTCCAAAACTTGTTTTAACTAGCATTACATTATGTCACACATAATGCTTACCCTTTTATTATGTCTGGATGCTGGAAATAATTGGAGTTGGCAATTATTTTGTTTGGTTGAGACCTTGAGGGGCAAAAAATTATGGTTTTTTTTATATAGGCTTTTCTAAGCAGAACCTTCTTTGTCATCTCATTTTTGATGGATTAATACTTTCATATATCCAATACAATGGTAATTATTGAAAGTTTAAAATCTATATTCTCATAAATTTATATTATAAATAATAAAAATATTTACAATGATAATGATTATTACCATGAGTTCGAAAGTCTCTCCATTCATACATACATACACATATAGAGAAATGAACATTCTACATCCCTGTCAATGAGCAGTATGGAAAATACTGTTGAACGACCTATGAGCTTGAACCGCGCAAGCACAATGAACAGACGTTAAGTTAAGGCAGCCACTCATAACAAGGGAATGCCTTCCAGAGCAGGTATGAAGTGCAGGGAATGTATCGCATAATGCCTGGACAGCCGATGGAGTCAGGGCAGTACACTGGCTTATATTCAGACTTTTCAGGCCACCATCATCGTATCTACCTTTCATCGACTCCCACATTGAACCCTTGTTCATTCTGCTTTGAGCCAGCGAGTACATAGCCCTGTCAGTGATGTTACGACAATAGTACAGTCCGAGCGACCTTAAATGGACACATTCGTTTGCTAAAGCAATCACGCTATCATCTGCAGTAATAAGTTCTGTCAATCTTGATCTGCCATGGTTACCTCTTACATGGTAAAATAAGCACTAAATGCAAGGAATATACCTGTTATGCGAACGCAACCGCACAAGTCCAGGCACCGAAGATCAGGGCATCCGTATGCTAAACTCATGACTCCGATATCACCAACATTGTCACACCATCCCAGATTTAAAGACTGCAACATATTACAGTTTCGTCCAACAGCCTGTGCATATATTCAATTCAAGCAGTTTGTTATCTTTTTCATCAGCAAGTAAACAAAAACCCGGCATAATACCGTTACCTGCAACGCATGGTCGCTTGCAGCTTTAACACATCCGCAGAGGTTTAATACTTTTAGTTTTCGACAAAAGTTGGTCAAATACGCAAGAGCTTCGCCATTAAACGATGTGCAGCCACTGATGTTAAGCCTTTTAAGGTTGGGACAACCGTGAGCCAATGCATACAACGAGCGATCACTAAGCTTGAAACTCTTGCTGAGGTCCAGATCCTGCAGATCTTGACAGGACTTCGAAATAGTCTCAACGGCATCATCCTCGAGCTGTGGATACTCTTGGCGCAATATCAGGGTTTGCAACTTGGTGAATTTCGGCGCAAGAGACAGAACCAAGTTGTTCATGTTCTTTCTGCACCTATAGTAAGATGTAGACAACGCAGTTATCAGCAAGTGGGATATAGAGGAAATAAAGACACAAAAGGGTAGGTCCTACGTCTATCTTAATCAATGATGAGGTCCAGAAATGTGACATTAACGGTTGAAAAAGGTCCAAAAACCTATCAACCTCCACAACACACAGACAAATCTAAATGCAGCTAAGCATACATACTGCAACCAGAGCTTCATCGAGTTCAGATTAATGTACATGAACCGTATGCAGAATCGATATTATGCACACAGCACACAGATGCGACCGTCGAGGATATAGCACCAAGAAGAAGGTGCAGACAGCCTCATATTAGTCCTAATCTTGCAACTACTCGAGAGACTATACTAATAGCTAAAGCACAACACAGCAGCAAAACATAAGCATCAAACAATTGTTGACAAGAAACGCTATACCATGAGAGACAGAGTCGTGTGAGGCCGAAGCAAATGGCATCCCTCCACCCGCTACAAACACCGGAAGCGACGATAACCGTCCGGTCATCGACGAGCAAAACGATTCTTAACAGCAGCTCTAAGGGGATGTCTTTCCACTCGGTGATATCGACACCGTTCATCTTAACTCCCTTAACCCCATCATTTCCAGCTGCAACCATCATCATCTTCTCAAAGCATAAGTTCAAGTCTTCATTTCCCACTTTAACTTCAGCACTCATATTTCAGTCCCTCTTTTGTTTCCTTAATCTTTTAGCCATGAAAAGAATTGCAGAAACTGATCCGTTAAAAAGGAAAACTAAAGCAATCCAATTTATTTGATTGTATCATTGTAAACTAAACATTTCTAGCAAAACAAGAAATCACAACTTCATAGCATAAAGGAGATTGGAATATGAAACAGCTGCAAAATCAGCAGCTCGATTTTATAACAAAAACATGGAACAAAATAAAAGAAAGGGATTGTGGATATGATCATATACCTTATTTTTCTGGGCTTTCTTTGTTTTTTCCCGTATTGTCTACAAATTCGTTTGGCCTTTTGCTTCTGTTCTCTTTCAGAGAACAGAGAAAGAAGCAAAGGGAAAAGAGCTTATAAAAAGACACAAGTGAGAATGAAGAAAAGAAAAGCGAGGGAGAAACGTACAAGGAGAGAGTTTGCGACGTTAAATATGCCACGTGTCCAATATCTAACGGTTTAATTTTAATCATTAATTTTTTTTTACTTGATTCGATACTAAAAAAATTTGATTTGATTTATAATTTATAATTTTATAGATTTGATTTAACTAAAAAAATATTTGAGTAGAGTTATTAAATATAATTTGAATAAATATTTTTTTAATAATTATTAGATTAGTTTTTAAATTTGGGTCGAGTCTCTTAATTTTATATGATATATTTATAATATATATTGTTATAGAGAACTGTTTAAATTAGAATTAAATAATATCATAACATTATAATAATTTACAATTAAATTTAAAGAGAAAAACGAATAATTCAAAAAAAAATTAAATAAAGTTTGAGTTATAAAATAAGACTTAAATAACTCAAAAAAAAATTATTCGATCGAATTCTCACTCCCAGGTAACAGTAGGACAACAAATCATGTTTATTTTAAATTTTATACATCTTGATTTATATTTATTAATAATTTTAATTTTATATTTATGTTCATTTGTTTAAAATTATATATATCTATATTGGTTTGTTTAATGCGTATAGATGTAAATATTTATATGTTTATTAAATTATTCAACAAAATCTCAAATTAAGGTATGGGTGATGTTGATTTTATTTTTTAATATTTTTATATTAAATTTTATTAAATTTTTTTAAAAAAAGGGGATGTGAATTGAGCTCCAATCTACCATGAATTAAGGAAAGCCACGATTAATACAGCTAATAAGATAGTTATCATAGATTTATTATAGGGTAAACTACATCTAAGGTCACTTAAATATGGGTTTCATAATAAATTTGTCACTTTTCTTTTAAAAATTATAAATATGTCATTTCATTAAAATATTATTACAAATGAACCATTATATGTTTAAATTAAAACAAACATCTAATATATCAACATTTTAAGAAGAATAAATGATTTTGAGCTTTATACAAAAGGTTAAATTTATTGAATTATTTTAAATTAAAACTAAATTAATAAATTATATATGTTTTGAGGACTAAAATTGTTATTATACTATGATATATCACTATTCCGTGACATGCTAGTAACAATATTTTAATTTAGTGACTTGTATGTAACTTTTATTTTTTTTAAAAGAGGTGATTTGTTTATTACAAAACATATACTTAAGTGACTTGAAGTATAATTATTCAAGTTGAACTCAATAATATTCGAATTGATGATTTTTTATGCCGAAACCGAATAAGTTACAAGCACAAGTATCTTGTAAATGAAGATTAAGAGGAAGAATCAAAGTCCAAGCTTCACAATTCACAAGTTTTTCCCATGGTTGAAGTGCATTATTCTATACAGTTCATGATCTCTGTGATGTTGATCTTTTACCCTTACCAACCCATGAATTTTTCCAGTTAGTTCCCAAAGAAGAAGCTTGTTTTATACCATCCACTGCTCTCGGCCTCGGCTGCTTTCCTACTTGCCGGATCCTTCTTCACGTTAAGCATCATCATGTGTCCGATTTCTTTACTAAGTGCTTCGATCGTCTTCGCATCCACTGGATTACAGTAAGCATCTCTCACGTAGAAGACGCTCACTGATTTCTCCCCGACCGTTGAGACCTCTGCTCTTCGAACGGACAATCCGTTCTCTCCGAGAATCCTTGTTACTTCGGACAACAAACCGACTCTGTCCTTTGCGTAAAGCTCCAGGCTTAAACCCTGCATTCGCTAAATGCATCTTGAAACGACAGGAAACTAAATATTTCTCCTAAACCATAAATCTTAAACATGTCATGAGTCATGTCACTAGTTTTTCTGTGTTCACGAGAGAGATTCGAAGCGGACTGTCAACGAAAATTGCAGTAAATATACACTGAAAAACAATATGCTCTATTGAAGAAATGGCTTAGCTTTGGTTTCCAAGTACTCATATTCTTCTGAATGGAATTTCAGAGTTTGGAAACATTCTTAGAGTTTCACATGAGAGGAACATCTACAGCATTTTAACCGTTCGAATATGGAATTCAGAGAATTTAACGACAAAAATGGCTTAAAATGAACAGAACATTTCAGTTAGATACATACAACTACTCACCTCGCTTACTCTTCTATGAATTGCGGCTTCAAGACATTTAACGGCCCTTTCTTTCTCTCCTTCAGTATCGAGTATGCAGCCGTCCATGTGGCGAATAAAATATTCCTACGATTCAGAAGACATTAAGATCATTTATGTACATATAACCGTATCCGATACCATTTTAGGAAAGGCTATGACAGATGATGGGTTTACCCGTGAAGCATGGGAACCATTGGATGATATGTTAGCATGAAAAACTACATATTGCATGTCCGTGAGTGTGCAGACAATGTCAAACATGAGCTTAGCTCGATCTTTGCACCGGACACTAACAACTGAGTACCCTTTCTCCTCACAAGGCTCGATTGTGATCTTTGGCTTGAAGGATGGAGGATAGTCCAACTCCGTTGTCACTTCACCACCTTCATAATCCCTATCTGCAAACAGCATTTGATGAAGCCGGCGGTCGATATGTGTGAATCCCATGGAGAAGCTGGTACGAGCAATATTGTCATTGTCCTCACAACCACGTAGGATGTGCTTAAGCTGCTCCTCCATAATAGACAGTCTGTTCGGATCATCCACAGCCCCGCCTGTGGTATCATCATCCACAGCCACGTAGGAAATGAGTCAATACTTGTCGATAAATATGTGAGACGGCGCTTATTGATAACTCGAAAATAAGAATGAAACCACATTCCGCTTTATAATATAGGAAGAAAATTTCTACAGCCTAACATAAAAGAAACAAAAATATTAGTGTGTGTATATATACATATATATCATTATCATACCATCCATGAAATCAAGGTCTGTTAGTATTTGCGCAACTTCCAGCAATAAATTCACGCTGTCAACCTATACGCAAGAAAAGTGATTTAGATTTTAGCACTATAAATGTTTGATTCCACACATGTTCGTTCGAAATCTAGTGAGACATTAAATTTGTTTTGAATTGAAAATTTACTTTTACGACGGTACAGTTGCTGCAACTCTTGTTATCAACGGACACCCTGCTGGAAATGGTATGAGAGAGAGTTACAACTATGCAAAGATGTTCACTGCTAAATGTGTTTGAAAATCTTCTCAAATGGTCTGTGTCTGTCCTTTGGTATGAAAAAGAAAATTCAAGTGGATAAAGAGACAACCTTGGAGGATTGATTCTGATACTCAGGTTCTCATACTCGGGATCAAAGTACGGCCAACAAACTTTTGCCATTTAAACCGCAGCTTCACAATAATCTGAATGTGTTTCTCGATCTGTACCACAGCAGGCATAAGCTTAATTACCAGATGGCATGCATCATGTCGATACAAGACCGATCTTGACTTATGCATGTTGATACAAGATATTCGTCCAACCGCTATAAACATATGAAATATATCCATAATTAACCCTCTAAAGCTAAAAGTAATCCCTTCACAGAATGCACTCTAGTATTGCAAGCCATCCGAAAATGGAGGAGGAGGAGAACATCATGCATGAATTAGCTGATCTTTTATAAGAAGCCCGGTAATGCAATCATCAAGACAAAAGTTATCCGTGGAAGCATCAAATTAAAGTAAAGTTAGTAGCAATCCAAATGTTTCCGAACATTTACCTAATATGAACAAACAAATTGAAAAGGTCAAGCTTCACAAGTTCTATACCAAACGGAATGTAATCGAGGAGCTGTAAATTATAATGGCGGAGAGTTTCTTCAATCTGCCTACGACAGGAAGAGAACTACCGTTCCCGAAGAAAACAAGAAAGGTCTTCTTTGATGATTTAGCTTGCAGTTAAGGTTGCCTAATGTGGCAATCCCAGGTTGATGAAAATCAGGTTCACGTTATGGAAACAAATATCTGCAAACAAAGTGGAAGAAAAATCAATAAATATACATAAGCTAATGCGCATTTAGCTACACGGACGATTCAAAATCGTTCTAGTATCATCATATTGACTTATAGCAATGTAAAAGATCACAGAAGATGACTTTATACAATTCATAGAGCAAAGAAGATCACTAAAGAAAACAATGCAGGCTATGCAACTATGTTTAACTTGAGGCCTTTACTTTACTTACTGTAAGGTCATCCTCAAGCTCTTGCTTTGTGATCTTAACTCGATCGATCATAAAACGTGTTTGCGACGGTACATATACCCTACCTTTCAACTTAAAGGATCAATCCCTCCAAGATTCCAAATCAGAAACAAATCATAGAACAGAATGCAATGCATTCCTCTTGAATCCTAGCTTTAATTGTAAGATACCTTTCGACTTTCGTTCCTCCATACGAAAATGCTTAGTTTCTATATAGTTAGTTCCGGTGTCGCACTTTTTTATTACACAAGGAAAAACGAAACCGAACCGGGAACCAAAAGTACTGTATGATTAGAATTAACACTACCAAAGAAAAAGAACAGAACAAAATTGACCAAAATATCTTTGAATTGGCATAAGGATTTGATTCTTAACACGTTTACTCTTCTCTTTCCCTATCATCTGCATCAGAAACAGTGTCTATACAACCTTTAAAAACAACTATCAGAAGCATCACCAGTCACCACCGTCTGATCCTAATTATGTTATCACGACCATCAATTCTTAAGAAAAATATAAGTAACACTAGTAAAGTGGGAAATTTATGTATAAATTTTGTAATAGCTGCAAAATTCGTGGTATAAAACACCAAAGACAAGCTGAATATTCCTTTATCTGAGTTGTATATCAGAAGGAAACCTGCAAAATTCTTAAGAGAAACACGGGAAAAAAACATTTCTCAGCTAGAAAATGAAATCCCATAGAGATGTTAGAGAAAAGACTGTAAATTACCTTTGAAAAAGCCTTCAAGTTATACAACTTTGCTTCTTCTTCTTTCTTCTTCACATTCTATGGTGGAAACAGAAGGGAAAACCCAAAGAGAAAACTTTCTTCTTCTTCGTGTTGGTGAATGAATGAATCTTTTAAAAAGAGAGATTCTATGGTTTTCTACGTTGGAATACCACTTTCATTGAGCCATGCTTTGCTTTCTAATATATTTCATTGCAAACGAGAGGACAAAGATGGTCATGGACAGACAAAGTGAGAGTGGCGTTGGGATTTAAATAACTAAATATAATATAATACATAATGATTAAAATATTTTGTTAATTACTCAGTAATGACGCGGCGACCAAATTCCATTTTTGTTATGTTTTGTGTGAGTTTAAGTTTAAACCCACTCTCGGTATGCGCGTGACGCTTCACCGTCGACTATTAAAAGATCTTTTCTATTAAAGATTTTCCAGGTAAAATTTATTGTTTCTTTTATTTTCTAATCATTATATTTTTATTATCATGTAACAATATACGAAATATTCTTAAATTCTATTTTAATTTAAATTCGATATAACTCTCAATCTTTTGACATTAAAGGCTCGTACTCCTGATATTTTTGATGTTCGAACCTAAGATCTCAAAAAATAACAATAATTCATTTATCACCGAAATCACTAAAATTCAGGAAATGAATAGCCTTTCGACTTCATATATTTTTAATATGATAATTGTGTACAGAAAATGGATAAGTAATTAGAGGTGCAGCTTAAAGAAGGGGAAGGATGCAAATGAATCAAACTTTTTTATTATTTTATTAAGTTTCGGATTAAAGAGATAATAAAAGGTTTGAAATTAATTAATTGGGTTTTGGGCACATGGTACAACATTGTTAAGCATAATTATGTTTTCTTATTAATTAGTGACTAATAATCAATTATTAGAGGGGATTTGTAATAGAAAAGTTATTTAGTGACTAACAATCAAATTATTCACTATTCTTGCGATTATTAAAAAATATTAGAGAGAAGCAAAGCAAGTTGCAAAAAGCATATGAGGATAATCAAGGGGATTTGTAGAGACGTTGGTACTCCACCACATGTTGATTTCTACTTTCCAAGGCCATCCCACCATCAATGCCAACCATTTGAGGTCTGAACCACCATCTTTCTTTGCTTTTTGTTGTATAATCTGTCGTTTTTCTCTAAGATTGAATGTATAATTTTATGTTAAGGATGAATTTCTAAAATTTTAAAATGAAGTGAATTTCTATTAAATGTAGACCAAACTGATAGACTGTATAAATATTGAAGACAAAATGTACAATTGTATTAATTTTGTCAACTGTCATGTCAACTATTTTGATCATTTAAATAGTCAAGTGGTATTGACAAAATTAAAAGATCAATGGTCAAAATGAAAAGGATCAATAGTTAAGTGGTCATATGTATAATTTACCTTTTTTTAATCCTCACCTCCTTCCAATGCAACGTTATGAAAATCTATCACAACAAGGAACAGGAATAAAAAACTTAATCGAATTTGCAAACTAATTACTTGAAATTTGACATCTGTATTACTAATTTGTGACCATTATTGCAAATGCATACAATATATGATTGCAGAGGGTCCATGAAAAATGCCAAGCAGACACTTTAGACGGCTCTCACGCCTTGGGTTCTTTTCTATGTAAAAAAATGCTAATGATTTCCCCAGTATGCCCCAGCTTGTGGGAAGCACTGTACTTTGGTCCTAACTTACAGAAACAAACGTACATGTTTTCAACTCTGATTTCAGCCCTTCAACCCTTGTCTCATTATCTCCTTGTAGACTTTCGACAAACTTTCATGAAGATGTTTTCAAGTCTTTTCACCTTGAGCAACACTTGCATTCATTACTATCATGATAGCAGCGTCATATCATGCATAGGGACGGAACTAGGATATCAACTCAAAAGGGACAAAATGTCACTAACAATAAAAAGTGAGAAAGTATTGCGATTGTGAAATAACGGTTTCGGGTGGCACCTTTATCACCATGTAACGGCTACTATTCTAATAGTAGACCGCTATTTAAATCCCTGATTGTAGCTATGACCGAAATGACTTCACATTTTAAAACTTAGGTTCTGCATGGATCTGGGCATGTTTTACGGATGTTCCGACTCCAAAAATAGTCTGAAATATATTATCCATCAGACAATCGATCGAATTCCCAGCTATTGATATTGTCAGGAGTCAGAATATTCTTCATTGTTTAGTATTATGAGGCACAAACTTATCCTTCCAGTGCTGGAAATGATCGGTTTCTCCTTCAAGAAGGGGCAATTCCTGTGGGACAACCCATCAATTAAATGTTATTATTCAAACAGAGAATTTGCATAAACAGGATGAACAATGAAGATGTTTCTAGTTAGAAAACACCTATGATTTCCGCTAATGCAGATATTTTCTGTTTTTCTATCTATTGATCATTATATGATGGTTCATAGTTTCATATATTCCATCATATGTATCATGCAACAGTATATGTTATCCGGACTCATTTTCTCCAAGGCATCAACGGTCATTACCTTCACCATTGATGGCCTCATTTCGGGGTTCAATTGCTCCAGAGTATCATCATCTATCTTCTATCTGGAAAGACCAATGTCACCTAGCTGTGTAATGAAAAACAATCATTTTAATGAGCATTCGGGTTCATAGAAAATCCTTATTCGATTCGCCTAATGGATAGATCTAACCTACCATAGGGACAAAGTCATGTGTGAGCATAGGACCACCACGGCACTCTTCATGTTGAAAACGCAAGCCCTTTGCAGTCCAAATTGTAATAGCACGTCTTTGATGCTAGTCAAGAACATTTTCTGTATTCTCTGTAAGAAAAGTGCTAAAAAGATGAGATGACACATAAAATCAATAGTCGAGTCTTCAAAGACATGTTATAGTTGTCAAATAAATGCCAGTAAAGAAAGTTGAAGGCACCATCAAAGGCATAGTAGAAGGGAGAGACAATCCAAATGCTTACAGAGAGAGAAAACAAAGCGCCAAAAAGATGGGCTCCGCCATTGTTGGAGCGTTTTCAAGCTAAATTAAAGTTGAACAATCACCCTGTATCAAAAGTTCAAACAAAAAACATATGCAAATCCATCAAGTTTTGATTTTGAGTATATCAAGCTGGCCTTCATTTATGTGTTAAAAAACATATGTGAGAACCATAATCATGCACAGGGTCCTTTTACCTGTTAACTGTGAAACTCATGTGATATTCCCTCAATGCGTTGCATTTCGAGGAAATTTCGATAACAGCACTTGAAACAATGGAATTCGAGATGAACCCCATCTTGACAAACAGAGCAGAGATTTGCTTACCCTTATCCAAATTTCTCAAATTAGTACAAGCAGCAATTAATTGGAAAGTGTAAATTCATCTGGAAAATAACCAGCAAATCTCATCTGATCAAACTGTTTCAATGCCAAGTCTTCATGACCCAACTTACAACAACCCCAAAATCAATGAATTCCAAGACACGGTATCCACCTCTTCCCTACTCTAAAATACACTAAAAGCATACTCTTCCAAGCCAAGCTTACCATATATCAATCAACGAATTGCCGATCATGTGCAATCATGTTACAGTGAATTTCCTTCCCCTGACTAGCACAAGACTGAAACGTTGCCAGAATTGAAAACGTGAACTTACTCTATCTAACACCAAAATTCTGCATTCCCTTAAACACTTCCAATCCATAACCCCAAAACCCCCACAACCCAAGATCATCGAGTTCCAAGTAGCAACATCTTTCTCGAGCACCCCATTCAACCAAATGTCCCAAGATATAACATTTTCGTCATTTATCTCCTCAAAAACTTCGGAAGCATCATCAAAAGAGCCAAGTCCATAAAACAATTACTCAGAAAGTTTATGCCACTGAATCCGAATTTGATCAACTGAGCATGGATTGTTTGGGAGAGTTGAATGGACTTCAAGGGTAAACATTGGGTTATGAGGTTGTTGTAATGAGAAACAGTGGGTTAATGAGACCAATAAATTGGTTTTAGGAAAGGGCGCATGCATGGAGCAAATGTTTTCTTTGCTCTCTTCACAAAGTAAGGACTAAGGATACATGATGTTTTATTTACTCTATTTCGAGGGACCAAGGATTCGATCTTTTTAATGTTTCTATTGCATTTCATAAATCAAAGCAACAACAATCAAATCTAAAGCAACCTGTGAGAACACATACCTACAAGCAATTGTCAAATACAATGTCCTAGAGAAGAAAAGAAAAACACATATCTCTCCTCAGAGCTTGATGTGTGAAGCAAGTAAAAGAAGCTGGCCCAATAAAACCCTGGCGCAGACGAAATTGTTAAATGCATCTAGCATGCCGTATCAAACTATGTTTCCAAAGGATAAAATGATCTCTTTCCATTAGCAACTCTTTTGCCAGTTGCCACCATAACAATGCTTGTTTAACTATCAGCCCAACTGAAACCAGGGTTCTTCAAAATCTGCTTTTCTCTCATTATCCTTCTAACAATAGCTAATGTTTCCCATTCACCAGAGGTTGCAAATAAGCTTGATAACTGGACATAAGCACTGGAGTTTCCAGGATCAAGCTCAATAATCCGCTCTGCCACCTTCTTTCCAAGAATTCTGTCTCCATGAGCAACACAGCCTCTCAAAACTGATAGCCACAAGCTTGCATCTGCCTCGAAATGCATTTCTCCTATGAGATTCATTGCTTCCTCAAGGCAACCAGCACGGGCAAAAAGATCAACCATACAAGAGTAGTGCTCTATCCCAGGATCAATATGGTAGTCCCATTTCATCAAGTTAAACCACTTTCGTCCCTCCTCTACCAGTCCACAGTGATCACATGCCGACAGAACCCCTATAAATGTTATTTCAGTTGGCCTTACACCCGCATTTATCATTTCATTGAACAAAACCAGTGCTTGAAACCCACAACCATTAGAAGCATAACCCATCAGCATGGAATTCCAAGAGATTTGATCAGATTTTGTCTCTGTGTCAAATACTTTTCGCCCATATTCAACTAAACCACACTTGCAGTAGAAATCAACAAGGGAGGTAGATATTATTTGATCAGATTCAAGTCCAATGAGAGTTGCTTTAGCAAAAACTTGTTCACCAAGTTCAATACTGGAGATGCTAGCACAGGCACTGATGGCACTAGCCAAAGCAAATTTGTCGATTCTCAGGTCTAATTTATTCATCTTGCATAATAGATCTAATGCCTCAATCGGACAACCGTTTTGATTCAGACCTACAATCATTGAATTCCATGATATCAGGCTTTTATTTGGCATTGTATTGAAAAGTTGCTTTGCATCTTCAATTCTTCCACAGCTGGAATATACAGTGATCACAGAATTAAGCAAGATTGTATCATAGGCTTGAAGCTCACTAAAAAACTTGCAAGCATCATTAGGCATTCCACATTTGGAGTAAGCATCAATCAGAGTGCTGGCTACGATGACATCGGAAATCAGACCAACTTTACTAGCATGACCATGGATTTGTTTGACATGTTCTGAAATGCATAAACTACTGCAGGCCCTCAAAATAACTGCAATAGATGAAAAGTCTCCATGAACCCCCTGTTCCCGCATATTATTAAAGAGAGTTAGTGCTTTGATTTCCTCATAGTTCAAAACATGTCCTGAAAGCAAAGAATTCCACAAAACAACAGATGGATCGATCTTTCTATCAAATATTCTTCTTGCATCAGTCATTCTGCCACAGGTTGCATAACCTGAAATCAACGCGGACAAAGCAAATTCATCTGGTTCCACCATCAAGTTTAGAACACGACTTGCACCATCCAAATCACCACATTTACCATACAAGTTTATCAGAGAACTACACAAAACCGGATCAAGTTCTATTCCCCCAACCACCATATGTGCATGAATCTGCTTCCCGAATTCAATAGCTCCCAAATCAACGCATGCCCCAATAACAGTTGCCAACACAAACGCATCATCACCCAAAGACCCCGATTCTTTAAACAGCTCAACAGCCTTTTTGGCATCCCCATTTCGAGCATAACCATGAATCAACGAATGGCAAGCAAAGGCAGTTTTCCTCGGCATGCTATCAAACAAAGCCCCGGCAACTTCCATCTCCCCCGCTTTAACAAACCCGGAAATAATAAAGTTCCAGGAGTAATCATTCTTATGTGGCATCAACTTGAACAAATCCAACGTCTTCTCTTTATTTCCTGATTTCATGTACCTTTCTATTACTGTATTCCAAGAAAAACAATTTCTTTGCGGCATTTCATCGAACAATTTCCAAGTCTCGGCCATACTTCCGCACCGCGCATACATTTGGAGGAGGCGATTTCCCACTGTAAGAGTGGAACTAAGGATACCCTTTTTGAGGAAAAAGAGGTGGAGCTGTTTTCCTAGGAGAATGGAGTTTCGAGTTGTACAGGATTGAAGTAAACGACGATAATATTGGTGATCAAGCTCCATGGTCATGCGAAATAGCGATTTGGTCTGCGGTAGTTGATTTTATCACTTTGCTTTCTGAAACTGTAAACTATATATATATTATCTTCTATGTCCTATCCATATTCAAGAATTGTGATTGTCTCTTAACAATAAAAAATATAAATGGCGACAAGAATGAAACGATTCACTAACCAGTAACCACTTTGAACCGGCAGATTTTGAACTGATGGGTCAGCTGGAAACATGTAATTAGAGTCGAAAATATATTAAAAAATATAATAATTTGAAATTTTTAGTACATCCAGCATTGTAAAAAGGTAGATTACATTTATATCATCAAATGTGATTTAATTTTTAAATTTTTTATATATCTAAAAAATGGAACATAAATCCATCAAGTGACTATTTGGTAAAAACTTATTTTCTATAGAAATCTTAAATTTAAATAGTTAAATCTGTATCTATATGCATTATCAATATATTAAAAAAATATTAATAATTATTATATTGTAATCACCGTTCACCTCATATATTTATCTAATTTATATTTTATATTCGAATATGTGTAAGACACGAATGTTATCCGAATACGGGTTAGGCACGGATATGGCAAGAAAAATCCTTTGCTTGGCAATGGCTTTACAATCATTTTGTTGCACTCATTCAAGGCAGAAAAGGCAGAGCATCTTGGGAAGCAAAATCATGATTCATCTTCAATTTAAAGCCCAAAAAAAAAAAAACACTTTAATGAGAATCTCTGAATATTATACAAACAGCTGCATTCCTCTGCTGTGACTGACAATCCCCTGAATGTACTTCAACCTAAACATTTAACATTATTGAATAGATAATTACACGTTGAAACGTCATGTTTAAAGATGGGCTGAACTCTCAAGGTTTCCCTTTTACAGCGGTGTTTTGGTTTTCCTGCAGAAGATGAAAGCCAAGCAACCTTTCCTTCTATGCCTGCATTTACCCCAAAACAACATCCTATTTCAACTTCTATAATTGAATCTCTTACATAAGCTTAATTGGTACATAAAAAAGGGTCTTTTTTCATACCTGTGGTTGGTAGTACTGCTGATGCTCCGGCCGTTGTTGCTTCTGCCACTGCCGCCGCTGCTACTGCTGCTGCTACGGCTACTCTTGGTGCCTCCGCTGTTTATAGTCGATCCACCGCTGTTGCTCTCGCTCGATCCCGATCTCTTCTTCCACCAATCTTTTTCTGTTGTCTTAGCAGATGCATCTGCTACAGTTGGCTTTGGAGAAACTTTGGACTTATTACTTGTGTTACAATCATTCTTGTTGTTGTTGATGATGTTCTTCTTTTTCTTAGACCCCAAGGAAACTGGAAACACCATTTTCAAAAGAAACCCTCCATTATCCAAGCTCCCACTCCTATTAATCTGCTGCTTCCGACTGTTCTGCCTCTCGCTCTTGTAACTCGAACTTCTTCCTCCGGCGAAACTCTCCTCTTTCGGTTCATCGACTACCGGCTGCTGCTGATGTTCAACGAGATCTTTCAACGTGAGTTCATAACAAGACTCGGGCATTTTACTAACCATTTCCATGAGTTCCCGTTGGCCTCTAGCGATGGCCTGAGCTCTCGACGACGGCGAAAGGCATCGGTAATCGGTTCTGTTTTCATGCTGAGGACTAGTTTTCCATAACGGAGGACTGGAAATCCCAGATTCATCGTTCCAGCTACTGTAATTTGCATGGTTTTGAGCTGTTTTTGTGGGTTTGGAATCGTTGTTCAAGGAATGGCCATCATAACCGCCATAACTATTACTGAATCTTAAGTGATCCGACAAAGTGACAAAAGAATCGGGGTGTTCTTTGCTGGGATCGAACATGTTTTGTTGGGAAGAAAACGGGGTGAGAGGCGAAGGAAGAGGCAATGGAGTTATCGCAGATTGCTTAAAAGGTGGGTGCGGAGCCATTCTCTTCACCGACCCCTTTGTTCATTTGTCTCCACAAAAACTTGGTTTAAATGGCGACAAGTGCCCTCAAATTTTAACATTTTACAAGTTGGTGTCTTGATTTCTTTTTAGAAATTCGATTTTTTTTCTATTTTATTTTAGGGGGCATTAAAGTCAAAAAATTTTAGAGGGCCATCCCTGTATGAAATTATAGGATAAACTTTGAATTTTATTATCTCTTTTATTTCATTCACTATATTTCATTTTTTTTAATTTATTCACTAAACTTTCGAATTATTCTTGTTTTGGTCACTCTAAATTATTTTTTTTATTATTTTGGTATGATATTATTTTTATTATTATTATTATTTAATATAAAAATAATATAAATATAAAATAAAACATATGGTGGTTGTCCATTGTTCGTCGTGTTGAACACCACCATCAATGGTCGTAGATGGTGGTCGTTTGATCCTAAATTTTATCGGTCACTTCGTCTCGATCACCTGAGTATGTTTTCAACCTCCATTTTGTTGGAACATACTCCAAATTTGATCAAAAGTGAGAAAACCAAAACACTGGTCGTCGTCGACCGCCTTAGATGGTGGTCGTTCGATCCTATATTTCATGATCGCTTTGCCTCGACCCCCTAAGTCTGAATTTGACCTTCATTTTGTCAGAACATGCTTCGAAGTCCATGAATATGAGATTGAAAGTGAGGAACCGAAATGTTTTAGTAGATAATCATTGGTTTTGGGGACATTTTTCGATCAAACAACCACTTTCAGACTCCACGTGTCAAAGCAAGTCTCCTGGTACAATTTAAGATCAACAGTTACCGGTTTCAAAAGCCGATTGTGATCAACGATGACGAGAATGGGCGATGGTGATGTTGTAAATGTTGGAGGAGTGAAAAATATTATTTTATTTTAAATTATTTTTATATTTTAATAATAATAAAAATGTTACGTCATAGAATAACAATAATAATAATAAAATAATATATGGTGACCAAAACATGAGAAATGTGAAAGTCTACTGAAAAAATTAGAACAATTAAAAGTACAATGAGTAAAATATGGAGAGAAAGTAAAGTTTAGTGAGTAATGTTGTAGTTTACCCGAAATTATATTACTATTTTTTCTTGATATACGTGTGTGTAGATATGTATGTGATTTGATGAGATTATGGCTTATGTCTTGTTTTATTTATGTGGATTTAAAAACAACCCCTTGCCCCCCTCGTGTTCATGCTCTGACTTTTTAGTTCTCAGTCTGATGTTGCCAACGTATTTAACAAGTTATGTTCATTCAAATATTTTAAAATTTCAACTTAATATCTAATTTTGTAAGTTTATATCATCACTATTAATGAGTGTAGAGATTGACCAAAGGGTATTTAGGGTGAGTATATCTTCAAAAGTTTTAAATTTTTATATATTTTAAATTTTTTATTGATAATTAAATTTATAATTTTAAATTTTATAAATTTATATCTCTAGAGTTTTAATATAATTTCTTAAAAATTCATATCGTTAATTTAAAATCATAGATGATACATCCATCTCTGAATTATTGATACACTGATACTCAAAACTATTAGCTAAAATTGTGTCCTATTGGTCGGGTGCGTAATGTAGCAACACACAATATACAGTGGCGAATGTAAGATTTGTTAGGTTAAATGTGTGTCTATCTTGACATTCGTATTTATTTATGCTAATCGTTTATTTTATTAATAGTGCTCACCTTAAAATTTTATTTGTGTATAACCTATATGAAAATTTTTTGTTATTAATATATATATGTTTATCCTTAAAAAAATTCTAGGTCTAACACTAATACCACATGTAAATTGTTAAGCAATTTAAGTTTAAATTTCAAGACAAATAGACAATATAATTAGAAAAGAATCGTAATTCTTAAATACATACGGTATATATATATATATAAGACATATTATTATTATTATTATTATTATTATTATTATTATTATTATTATATTACCTAAGAAAAAGAATAAGAACGTTATGGATTTATGTCCTTTCCCGTTATGATATTTGAATTAATATTCTAAGGGATTGCAAAGGTGCTAAGAACAGGGGATATGGTTTAAGATGTTTCAAATTTTGAATCTCCATACCCAACTTTATTATCAAATAAAAAAGATAAAAAGGATTTTATTTCCGTTTGAAGTCTGATGTTATACCATATGACATGTCCAAGAATTATTCCTTTCCTCTAAATTCTTTTGGCGTAAAGTACATAAATGGTACTTCAAGGACGTTAGTTTGTTGAGTCTCTTGACTATTAAAAGTTACAAATTAGTCTTTTGACTATAAGATGTTACTTTGTTGAGTCTTCCAACTTTTAAAAGTTATAAAATGGTCACCCGACTGTTTCAAACTCGTTCTTTTTCTTTAAAAAAATTGAAGGTCGTCTGAGCTGAACGTTACCCTGTTGACTGAGATATGATAAAATATGATCTCAGATTCTCAAACGACTATACAATACAAACAGTTCTTCGATCATATTTTTATCATATTATAGTCATCATGTTAAAATTCAACTCAAACAACAGTCAATTTTTAACCAAAAAGGACGAGGTTGGAACATATGAATAGTCGGATGACCATCTTGTAACTAGTCAATGGACTCAACAAAGCAATAGTGTATAGTTTGGGGACCATTTTATAACTTTTAATAATCGATGGACCCAACAAAACAATGTCCTATAATCGAGGGACCATTTATATACTTTACCTATTCTTTTATAACTAAAAAAAACGAAAAATAACTTTTTAGCTCTTTAAATTTATTAGTTTAATTATTTTAATTCTTAAACTTTTATTATTTCTCTTTTAACCCTTGAACTTCTATTTTTTTTATTAAATTGACCTAAATGTAATAGAATGACAACAAACAATTAAAACTATCATAAACTATTTTATAATTATTGAAATGTTTATGTGAGCTATCACAAAAGAGGTGAAAATTGTAAAAAGAAAAAAGAAGGTTAAATAATATTTTGGCCTTGAAGTTGCACCTCATCATTAGGAATGGATCGAGGGCTTGAAAATTTCATATTAGTATATATTTTATATATTTTTTTTATATTTTTAATTGATAATATATTTTCGTCTCATAAAATTTTAGAAATTCATCATCTTAGTATAAGATCATACGTCCGTCTATGTTCATAATCTATTTCACACTTGTATTTTCTCAATTTATTCTCTAAACTTTTCAAATGTGATAGCACATTATCTCATCATATTTTGTCATTACAAAAAATCACATTACACTCTAAAAATGTATCATACAAAACATAATATATTCAAAAAATTTAAAGAAATTTATAAAAAAAACTTTAAAAGTAAAAAGTATCAATTTGTTTAAAAAATTAAGATTTTTCAAATTTCATTTTGCTGGAATTTTATATTTTCTGAGTTTTTTAAAATATAATAATATATATTATATGTTGCGGGACATATTCTTATTGTCACGTGAATTTTCATAATGAGAAAAATAAATTAATATAACATACGTTACGGTTGAAAAATTTATAGATAAAGTAAAATTAAAAGTTTCTTCAAATATGTTAAATATATTAAACTTGAATCATATTTTTGTATTTTTTGAGATTATCAGATTTAATGTCAGTTATTCTAGTTGAAACTATAAATGACACGAGACATATCGTAAATTATTCGAGCTTGACTCAATTAAAGTTTGATAAATATTCGATTTGAATAGACTCGATTTGAGCTTGAACTCGACTCGAGTTCTTAATGAGCCGAAACGAACTATTTGATACTCGACTCAAAAAGGTTACGAACAACTCTAAAAAAAATAATATATTAAATTTTATTTTTAGAAAAATTAAATTATTTAAATATTAACATTTATGTGTTGATTTTAATATATATATATATATATATATAGTATAAAGTTTTCATATACTTAATGTTCAAGTTCAAGTTTTAGCTTAAATAAACTTAATTTTAAGATTTTTTTATCTAGCTTCAGTTCATGATTTAGAGTTATAGTCGAGCTTGAAACTTGTAGGCTCGCAAGCTTTCGAGATCAATAGAGTTCTATTTTAAATTTTTTGAATTGATCAAACTCAACTCGACTCGTTTACGGTCCTAACCCTGGTAATGCCTTCAATGTACACAAGCCAAAAAAGAAAAGAAAGTAGTGGCTCAGAAAGAAGCTAAAGGCAGGGGCCATGGCGCCTCAATTGTCCAACTTTTTCTTTTGTCTGATATTATCGCTTAATAAAGTAATATTTATGTTTAGCCCCCTCACATTTTTAAAGTTGTTTTTTAATACCATACATTTTTATTTCAGAATTAAATTTAAATTGATAGCCTAAGTAATTCTTACGACTTATAAGAAATTAAAATTAATATAAAATAAAACCATTTCAATATCTAATACAAATGGAAATTTTAGTAAAATTTACTTTTATTTTCTAAACATATACTCCTGAGTTTGAATTTTGTAGCATTAGATACATAAATTATTTTTAATTAAAAAATAATGTCACATTAAGGTATTCAACGGTATATCATGAATATCCACAAAATCTTAGTTACATCAACATCAGAGTCATAGTTGAGTAAGAGAATAGATTACATGTGAGGAAAGTTGAAGCACTCTCACGACACTTATATCTAATTAGGACCTAACTATAAATGATCGTAAAACTAAGACCGAATTTATATCTAATTATATTAAATATAGAAAACCATAATCTAAATTATTCCTAATAAATATCTCCTAATTAAATATCAAATTGAATTGAACTATTAATTAAAGCCATAATCTTAACCAATTGATATCTAATTAGGACCTAACTATAGATGATCGTAAAACTAAGACCGGATTTTAATTCATTTAAGACAAATTAGGACTTAGTCAAAAGAACTAAAACCTTGGAGGCTCAATTACTAACATTTTTTTTTACATTGGACCTAAATGTAAGGACCCTAAAAGCTACAAGACCGCACATATTGTTTTGGGACAGATTGATATTTGAGTTATTATTATTATTATATTTTTGTCTTTGTGA